GCTATTGGCTCTCGGCCAGTACACTTCTCAGAAAAATCAATCTCTGACGGAATCCAGCGAAGTCGGCTTAGCCCGCCACTAAAGGTTTTCTGGAAAACTCTAGACTCACGACAAGTATTACCATCTCTGTCGTGCCCTTCTCTTGAGCGCAAATATGTGGGATAGTACCTCCACGAAACAATCAATAATGGAGATGGTGCTGTCCGCCGCAATACTTCTTCCATGGAATATGTAATTTCAATCTTGCCGATGAAGGATTGACAAGCGTTGGCGCGATAAGGCTCATCTACTTAGCGTGCAGGGCCATATTCTACCATTGTTGGCCTCTGGCGTCTCACTTTCCAGTGTCTAGCATTTAGGCTACATGTGAGGCCTTGATCCAAGTGCTATCATTGGCGGTAACTTTCAGAGACACAGAAAGCTATCCAGTGAATCGAGGGCTGTTCAGAGTTCGTACGATTATGTTTGCAAGGTGGCTAGGGGCAGTATCTGGCTAGCATCGTCAAATTCTTTTGGAAAACTGACCAGCCACAGCTATTCAATTGAATATAATACCCTTGCGTTTGGATGTTTCTATAGTGAATTTTCACACTTTGCGACTTGGGGTTTTTGTCGGTCGGGTTTCCGTAGCAGATAACGTCTAATGAAAAGAACAGGATAGACTATCCTAGCACTAAGAGGTAGGAGGCAATAATAAATTGAAGGAAGAATCAAATCTTCTCGGACACGTTCTTTATATTATCTGGCTGTTTCGTGAGTAAGAATACCACTTGATTGAAACCCTAGGTGGCCCGACTGTGGTACTTGGGAAGTATAGAGCGGGCGGTAAATGGCCGCTGTCCTCCATTTAGACTGATATAGCATCAAACTGCGCCACAATTCATACCAAGCCTCTATGGTCTAGTTGGCTATGACGTGGGTCTCATATCTTGTCATATGACGATTCTGGTAACAGAATTGCAATCCCGAGGTCTCCAGTTCGATCCTGGATGGGGGCAGGTACTTTTTTGCTTTGCTGCCATATCGAGTGATACACCTCTTGGCACGCCTGCGTATCTCTCATTTTTTGGTCAAGTTAAAGCACAAATTTAGAGCGGTGTCTGTCTAGATTTTTCAAGACATATATAGCCATGCTGCCAGCCAGAAATCAAAATACCGTATTCAGGTATTTGCATTGATGCATGGATATTTGCAAAGTTGGAACCTTGGAAGCAACCTTGGAATGCATGCCACAAAGTGAAATTGAGGGTTTAATCTACTAGGTGCTGCTGGGTAGTAGAACAAAGAAGAGGGCGTTTGTCTTGGGGGAAACCTTCAAGCTCCAGGAAGCAACTTGCCGTGGACCTCATGCGTAGTACCACCATTGACCGCAAAACGGAAATAAGGGTCTGAACATGATGATATATATCTAGTAGGTAATACTAGTATGACAACAAAATAGAAATACATTGCATATCAAGCGTGACTAATACTATATTTTTGACCAACCATTGTAATACTACAGCCATACAGTATATTCAAGTTCAAGGTGATATCTACTCATAGCTACTTGGTAGTATTTATTCTGGCGACTTACGCGCGACTCTACAAGCAGCTGTACGAGTATGCTTCCGGGGTCTAGTACTACCTTGACAACTCAAGTGCTAATGGGCAACTCCTAGTATACCTATATGGTATGATTCCGAGTCAATATGATCCCCTTCATATGCCACTAGTGACGGCTTTTGAAACAGGCTGACAACTCCTCAGCTTGGCGCATGACCAAAAGTGGCCCAGACGAGACTTGTGGTGGTCGCTAGTTAGTCACAAAACACTGGCGGGCGCCCAGGGATCCATATCTAGAATGTCCGTTACCTGAGTAGGGATATTGACCAAAAATACTCAGTTGCAATTTCAAAGTGTAGTTCACTGCTCCGTTCCAAGGTTCACAAGAAAAATATATCTAAAAAGTGCCCGACATTCCACGACTTCGCCACACCGGCAGCCTTGACTCTTTGAGACAAGGCACCCACAGTTCCCGCCTCACACTTGAACGAATTCGGATTCGACAGTGATCGGTCTGATTCCAGTTCCAGCGCGGGGTTTCCAACAAACGTATGCTGGTGGTAACTGGTAACTGGGGACTACTAGCAGGCTCCACGCCACGGCAAAAAAACGGCGCTCTCCGCCTTGTCAGCCTATGTTGAGACGAGCAGGCAGCATGACTTCACCACTTGTTGGTCCCGCCATCTTTCAGAGATCCATGACTCTCCTGCCTTCTCCCCTCGCTCAGTCCACCTTGGGCGAGAAGTGCGCTGTCTACCTGGACCACGTCACCGACAACATCCCCGAGTTCCTGCACTCCCTCCGCCCCCGACTGGATCCGTATCTGACTTACCTGTCCCCCACGCCCTTTCGCTCCGTCGCGCAAGCCCTCCCATTCGACGCCGACGAACAAACAACCGCGATCTGTGCGGCTATCCTTATCTGCATCCTCACCATTGTCGGTATGAGCTGGGGTAACCCCCTTTCTGGCTTCTGGCGCCGTTCGCCAAACTACGCTACCGCCCCGCAGGTCAGCGATGAGGATTTTAGTTATATCACACCAGATTATATTGTCGACCCACCGGCAATGGCCCCTCCTCAGCATGGTGGTCAATATGCAGGAAATGCTGCCGACAACGAGCCGGATATCATTCGTCTCCGACACCGCGGTACCATCTACCCTCTACACTTCCCCGCATTCGCTATCGACGATGGTGCGTTGAATATCGCTGCGCTTCGACAGGCGGCTGCGGCGAAAGTGGGCGCCAACAACCCGAACCGTGTTCGATTACTGTACAAAGGAAATTTGTTGAAAGACGACTCGCGACCATGCAAGGCAGAGGGCCTCAAACAGCACTCAGAGGTTCTGTGCGTGGTGTCAGAGGTCGACGCCAACACCCCAAGTGACCACTCAGACCGTGATAGTGGCCAGTTGAGCGATTCCAGGGTCCGTCCTGATTCATCGTCATCTCGCATCGGTGGAGACGAAGATGGCGACTCAGGCTCGGCCTCCAAGTCGCGCAAAAAGTCTAAAAGCAAGAACAAGAAGAAGAATAAGGGCAAGAAGTCGACCGAGGGCAACCCTCCCCGCGATGATTTCCTTGCGCCTCCCACTTCAGTCCCGTCGCGTCCCAGTTCATCGGGCGGTTCAGCGTATATGCCACCCCCGTCGCCTAATATTAAGAATTTGGGTGCACTGGAGCAGGTATCTGCATTGCTTGGATACCTCAAGCAAGAGCTTGTACCACTATGTGATGAGTATGTGGCAGACCCGCCCAGCGACCCGAAGAAGCGGGAGTTTGAGCACAAGAAGCTCAGCGAGACGATCCTGGCGCAGATTATGCTCAAGGCAGACGGAATCGTGCCGGATGGCGATGCGACGATTCGCAATGCGCGCAAGGCTTTGATCAAAGAAGCGCAGGCGAACTTGGACCGGCTGGACCAGGTCGGGAAATAGAAGGCTCCTCAACCTCAAGGCAGGTGGATTATTTCTGTGTATACCTACCTCATCATCCTTTTCTCTGTTTCTTTTTTCTTTTCCCCTTTTTTCCTCTCCGGGATTTCGCTACCGTGTACGGAGAACACCGTACTGCGGGGGAGGGAATCCTTTACACATAGACTAGTTATTTGCATATGGGACGCGGACTTTTGTGATCTATGGACCTGTCAAAAGGCAAAGGGACGGGAATGGCATTGCATGGATCGGCGTTTCTGAGGAGTCAACCGCTCAGGCCTCGGCTTTCAGATCCTCTTCGATGCCTTCATCTAAGGTCAGATCGATCTCCGTATGAGTAGATATAAGAATAAGAATACCATTGATTATTGCTTCCAGTTCCAACCCAGAGATATGAGGAAGTCCCAGTTGAGAAGGGCCAGACTCTGATCTTGCAGGGATCAGCGTGGTTCAGGGGGGGGCAAAGCTCCACCACGGACCAACCGTCAAACTGGGCATGGCCATGATCCAGGTGATAGAGATGATAGAGGATACCCTTTCTGCACTTTGTAGCGTAGCAAGCGCAACAATCAATTAGTATAGATTGCTGCAGGACGGGCCATTGAATAGATCAATCAATAACCCAGCCCAACGTAACCCCAGGGGGCAGCATGTCGAACTCTACTCGTACGGAGTAAAGTAGTGGGCAAAGGAAAAGAAAAGAAAAACGGGGCTATTCCCAGCCGGGCCTTCTTCCTCCCTTTTGCCTTTCCCCCCCCCATCATTCATTCGCATTCGCATTTCACTCTCGGTGCTGGTCCTGGCCAAAGGTGGTTTTGGTGTCTGTGTCTGTGTCTGGATCAAATTGTGTTCTACTATCTTTCCATCTCTATCACTCCCTCTCTTTCTCTCTCTATCCCTCTCGGTGGAACCACACGATCTTCCCCCCCCCAACCCCCCTCCCCCTCGTGGCTCAACCTTGCGTGCAACTAGAGTACGCGCCTCGACTCAGCACAAAGTAGTGTCATTGCCTCGAGACACTAGACAACCTTCAGTGGTCAAAAGCTTTGTTGCCCCAACTCAACTCGAACTCAACTCAACTCGTCCACGGAACCATCACGCGCCGGTGGTAGCTCTCACCCGTGGATCGCGACGAACCCCGATCTGCCCAGGACCACTTTTACCCAATCCACGCCTCAAACACCCACCTGCGAGCCAACTGCACCTCCACTTGCCCCCCCTGCAGTGTCTGGGTATTTACAATTTACTTCTTTGGGCCCTCCCCACTGCCGGTGTGCGGGACTGTTTCCCCTTACCACCCACCTCCCCGATTCTCCATCTTCGCCCACTTTCTGGTTCGTGTCGGTATTCGGCTAAGCTCTGGCATGGCTTGATCGAGACACACTTGACGGCACAAGCGGATATCGACTCGGAATTTCCCTCTGCTTGTCACCTTTTGAAGCAGGTTCCAGCTGGACTGGCCTTATTCTTCCCTTATCCCACCCCACCACACCCATAAGACTCCCACCCCCGAACCCTGGGAATGGCGGGCGTCGCCACGGCGTATTCGACTGAAGCCCTGCCCTCTGGAGGCGTGGACAATGAAAAATGGGAATTCTCTGTACCAATTGGTAGCGATGTAAGTTTTTATCTGATGTAAACTTTGCTTCTTTGCTTCATTGTTTTTTCTCTTCCTTTTCTATCCGGGGAAGCTTTGGAGGCGGGAAGGCGGAGAAGAAAGGACAAAAAAACCTCCCCGAGGGCATCTTCTGACTGATATTCTCCTCTCGCACAGGGCACTCCCCAACATTCCTCAAAACCACGGACCTCCCATGACTCGAGCTCCGTCCGTGCGAGATCGACTAGGAATCGAAACTCCAACGGCTCACGAAGCTCGTCTGTCTCCCGAACCATGCCCGGAAACGATGCCCCTTATTATGCACACCGCGGCCGACGAGACCACAGTCTAAACCGACATGGAAGTGATATTGGCAGTATGCGTGATGCCCCCGGGAACGATACGTCGAGTCGCAGAGACACGGGCGAGGAGTTGGATGAAAAATCAATGGAATTCAACCCTGAGAGCTGGATTCACCGAGACAAACTCGCCAAAATCGAGAGCGAGGAACTTCACCAGGCGGCCATAATGTTCCAACGACGAATGAGAGCCGAGAGCAAGTCGAGTGCGGGACGTGGCCAAAGCCATGATTCCCATCAGAGTACTGCGAATGGCGGCACTGCGGTGACATCGCCGAACACAGAGCACTCGGAACCATGGCCTCAACTCCGGGAGGAACATAGGGGTAGCCGTGAAGGTGGCGATGAAGAGAAGAAACACCAGTGGGATCTTCGACGACCTGAAGAGATTGCTGCAGACGAAGCAGCAGCCAGTATCTACAGCAACCCCGGTCTCCGAAAGAGTTCCTCCCGCATACCCATTTCGATGGCTAGTCCGGTGCCATTGGGTAGCGGCCGCGATTCCCGTGGTGCTCGCAGTCGTGCAGCTACGGATGAACTTGAGGATATCGAGTTTTCTCGAGGCCGTAGAGCTAGCGAGCCTCTCAACACTGACGCCGAACCAACCACACCCTCTCCTAACAGCCGCCCTAACAGCCGCGGATTCAACTTCAACACTACCCAGAACACCCCAAAGAAGACCCCAGCCAAGGCCACGGGATCTGCGAACCGCAAGACCTCCGCCCCACCCACCAACCGAAAGCCTTCGGCCACGACAGCGAGATCGCGTGCGGTCTCAGGGAACACATCTCAACGACCAACCACCCGAGGAGGAGAAACCCGGCCTACCACCGGAGTCAATCGTCCCGAGGGAGATCCGCCATGGCTGGCCACGATGTACAAGCCGGATCCTCGCCTTCCACCTGACCAGCAAATGCTTCCTACCCTTGCCAAAAAGATGCTGCAGGAACAGTGGGAGAAAGAAGGCCGGACGCCTAATACCTACGATCGAGACTTTGCGCCCCTGGCTGTGTATCCTAACGATATCCCTCCTGTGCCGCCCAAGGCAGAGGAACCCATCCAGCCAAGCGAGGAGAAGTACCAAGAACCACCTCAGCCACCTCAACCCCCCCAAGAGTCCCGAACCACCAAGGCCCAACACAAGTACCGGCTATAGTACCATGCCAAAGGTACAGGACACCCCTCCGCTGGGATTGACCCCCAACCCTAACTGGAACCCTCCAGTGGTCTCTGCACAAGAGCAGCCCAAAAAAGAAAAGAGCTGTGGATGCTGCATAGTGATGTGATGGAAGTTCGTTCCTCCTCACCACCATGATACCTTTGATATTGGCACACAGCCCATACACCAACACCAACACCTTGGCCTTCGATTTTCTTTTTCTCTATTGATCCTTACTAGTTTTTTTCCCCCCTTCACCCTTCCCTTCCCTTTCTAACCTTTCAGCGGACCCGGTGGGATGGTGTTTACTCGGCTTCTTCCTTTCCACTCTTAGCCTGTCGCACAAAATTTTTCCTTTTAATTCGGCTCGGCCCTTATTCTCACCGGAGCATACCATTTTCCTTTACATATGCATCCACTCTTTTTCATACATCTTCCCTTTCCATTCTTCTGTGACCATTCTTCCTTACTTCCAGTCCGTGTGACTGGAAGTTAACCCGAAAAAAGGATGTTCATTGAATCATTCTCGAGCGAGGTTACTGCACCCGTGTATATCTTTTTCTTTTTATTTTTGCTTTTCTGACAGAGAGATCCGATGGAGCTGTGATCTTATCTTTCCTTCTTCCCACTGTTATTTTCCATCTTCTTTCTGCTCCATTGCGCACATTTGTTGCCACTTTTGCCATATTCCCAATCCTGACGAGCGTGTTCTATTGTTTTGTTGTCTAGTGCCTTTTAACTCTTGTTGAGCTTAGCGAGCATTTATAGCTGTGCTCATGAATCGAATTATTCAGAAGTACTCGTAATGTCCAATGTCCTACTATAGTATTGTTCTTAGCCCAAGTCGATGACAAATCATCACCTGACATCATCGCACCGCGCAATGACCGAATCACCGAATCGAAGGCCGGCGAACAACTCCATTTCCCGCAACCAGCAGAACTTGAACCCTTTTAAAGAAAAAGAAACCGCCTTCCCCGCTCGGTTTCCTTCCTATCTTCGCCCACCATTTCTTTCTTCACTCGTCTCTTCGGCTCTTTCGCCGCTCCATCTCCCGCCGCCATGTCCGCCGCAAAGACCAAGGCTCAGAAGCTCATCGACGAGAACGCCGTCGTCGTCTTCTCCAAGTCCTACTGCCCCTACTGCACTTCCAGCAAGAGCCTTCTCAGCAGCTTCGATGCCAACTTCACCCTCGTTGAACTGGACCAGATCGGTTAGTACTAGTCTTTTCCTCGGATATATTACCCTCCGCCTTTTCTCTCTCTCTTTTTTGAATCCGTTCTTCCTGGATCTGGGGTGACTTATTGCGCCGCGGGAAATGGAGTGGAATGTTTATTGTACTCGGAGGGTGATTGGGTCTTTCTTCCTTTCTTCCGTTCCGCCGTGCTTATTCTACCCCGCTCCCTTCCCTGCACGCGATATTTCATGCATCTGATGCAACATTACGGAGTCAAAATTACATATGGGATAGGACCTTATGCTGACCACAATCTCTTATTTCTTTAGATGATGGATCCGCCATCCAGGACGCCCTTCAAGAGATCTCCGGCCAACGCACCGTTCCCAACATCTGGATCAAGCAGAACCACATCGGCGGTAACTCCGACCTCCAGAATGTCAAGAGCCAGCTTCCCCAGCTCCTGAAGGATGCTGGTGCTCTTTAACTTCGATCATTCATGAACACATAACATAGACCTTTGAATTGAAAGGGTGATGGAGGAATGATATCTTCTAGCTTGCTGGTTCATAATTGCACATGTATGCGCGAGCGCGAGCGCAAGCGCAAGCGCAAGCTTCTTCTCTACCTCTGCCCTTTTCGTATCTTTGAATCGTACGCCTATACCCCTCACGGATAACTGCGATAGTAGTTGTAGATAGTAATTGAGTTGGGAGGTAGAGATTATCCAGCGCAGTCCCCAGATAGAATCAACGCTTTGCTACAATACATGAGATGCGAAACAAGCCATCGAACCCAAGACATCACAACAATCCCAAGAAACAAAACAAAGAGAATCACCAATCACCTAATAGTACACAGAAACAACCAACACATGCCCCATCAACATCGACATCCACCTTCATATCCACCTCAAACAATCCGCTGAGTGACAGTTCCAACAGGCCGCTCAACAACAGTCATCAACCCATCAACAATATTCCTCCGCGCCCCCTCACTAGAAACATTCTTCCCAGCCAAATAATTCAACCAAACAAGACGACTAATCCGCTCATCCTCGACCCTCCCCATCCACTGAACAGGCTTAGTAGCCTCAGGCTGGAAAAGCGCATCCAGCGCACCCTGCGCACCACGCATAAGAACCAAAGTCTGTCCCTTGGGAACATTCTTCCGCTGACCACCGCCAAAAACAGCCTTGAAGTCATTCATCGACGTTCCAAATTCCTGATCCTGGAATTCGCCGAGTTGGTCGGAGCCCGGGGCAGGCTTCTTCTGCTGTGCGCGAGCAGTGATGCCACGGACCCAACCGTCGCGGAGATGCATAAAGTCCGTGTTACGGGTAGGCACGATGCGGAAGGCAGTTCGAATCCCGTCATCCTTGATAATAGCAGACCATGCGGCGTCGCCGTTCTCCGGGTCCAGGAGCATTTCCTTTAATTGTTGACGTTCTGGCGGGACGAGGGATGTTGCTGCGTCTGCGCCGGCGCCGGAGATAGCGGCTGGGTCGTTGGAGGGTGGGTGGACGGCTGTGTGGACTAGACGTTGTTGGAGTTCGGTGATGTCTGATTTTGCGACGTATAGACCAACGACGTAGACTTGGATTGAGAGGAAGGAGACGCTGCGAATGCCCAGGCCGAGGAGTTGGTAATCGTCGCCGTCGGAGGTGGAGAGTTCGTCGCCGGCTTGTTTTTTGTCGGCATCTTTGATGGACGGTAGGCGGATGGTTGAGGGGAAATATGGGACTGAGCTGTTTCCTGTTGCGATTTGGTCGACGAGGTCTTGGCCGTGAACGGGGATTACGGGGCGGTCCACCGTCACTTGGGAAGCCGGTTGGTCCGTCCATTTTGATTGCGCCGTTGTTTGTCGGGGTAGTGGCTTCGGCTTGTTTGTTTGATGCGGTCTTCTCCTCCTTGTTCTTCAATGCTTCGACTCCAAACACGTCATATGTGACCAATCCGTACATTGTTGCTGCACAGGCAATGATTCCCACGGTGGAGATGACGACTGAGCGCTTTGCTTTCGCAACCTCTTGTACACGCTTTGCGCGCTCGGCGGATCGGAGGGGATTGCTGGCGGCATTGTTGGCGGATCGGAGGGTGGTTGAGGAGAGGTGGCGGGTGTTTTGAGGGGTGCGGGCCCTTTGACGGGCGAGGCACTGGTATGCCCGCCAGGGATTTGAGCGAAGAGGGGAGGCCATGGTGTGTGTCTATGTATGGAGTGTGAGTTGGGGAGGGAATCTTCAATCGACAATTCGACGCTCCAGTCGGTTCGGGGCGGAGAAAGCTGGAAGTGTGGGGATCCACGTGACATGGTATGATCTATAACGCAGGCGATATAATTGGACTGTTTTGATTTGTCCGAACTATACAGTTTACTGTCTGTTTGCGATTAAAGATGAATACATACGACACAGGAAATCGTGCTTATTCAATGCAGATGATCCTATGAGATACTGCCCTGGTGTCTGCTGAAAGCTAGGACCTTGTAGGTTGGTTCGCTTGTATGAACATCCCTAAAAGCTATCAATACTGGTCGATCTTTGCCACATTTTGTATAGAAGCTGAGATATACTCCAGTGCGGCAGTTAGTCACTTCTCGAATGCAGTTTCGACGTTCCTGTTGTAGGGCATCACTATGTTCAAGGTACACGAGGTGGGGCGGAAACGGACTGCTATGACACGTCGAAATTCCCAGGGCCCGCCCATGCCCATCTGGGTGTCGGCGACCCCTTGTTCTTCAAGGCCACTCCGACCTACTTCTTCCATCAAACCTTTCAGTCAAAGCTTTGGACCTATAGCACCAAAATGGCAGACCGCCCAGTTCTATATCAACAACCTCTTTTCAGATGCCCGGAATGCAGAAAAGGTGGATTCAAGAGTCTCAAAGCCCTCCGTGCTCATTTCGAGGCTTTACAGCATGTTCCCTTGTGTCAAATGTGCGAGGGTAATATTGTATTCGACGACGCATGGTCCTACTTAAGTCATTGCAACAGAGATGATGGATTATTATGCAAAGGAAAGTTTCGTATGGCCTACTCTGGGACGCAGCGGAGCGTCGCGCGACAAAGACCACTTGCCAACGAAGGGGCAAAGCGATCAAAAAATACCAAGGAAAAATCGCAGGTCACTATTTCGACAAACATGCAACAGACAAGCATACAGCAAAGAAACACTCTGAAAAGCTCAAATCGGAATTTCGTCCAGAAACCTACATCAAAGGAAATTGATTCATTGAGTTCATCAACCAGAAATTTATCAATCGGCATCACGCCCGTGTGTACAAAAGGTATGGCCCATACTATTTTCTTCAGCGAAGGATTATTCTCACCTAGTTCGAATACAAAGAGGCACGGTTGATGAATATCCCAACGGCTCTTGATAATCAACACTATCCTATGTCGCAAGATGAGATCATTTTCGAATATCTGAACACGAAACGCCACTCGCTAGCTCGTCTTCAGGCAGAAGGATACTTTTTGGGGATATTTTATATGACCAAGGACCAGAGAGCTGGCAAACACGCTCTTAGGGATGAAGACTATCTCCTGTCACCCCTAGTTTCCCTTACCCCCAGGAGAACGGCGATCGTTCTCGATTGTGAGATGGTCGGAGTTGCGGGCGGGCGCTCGGCGGTCGTCTCTCTCAGCGCAATTGATTTCTTTACCGGAGAGGTCCTGATAAACGATATAGTTAATCCGACAGAGAAGGTTGTTGATTGGAGGGCTAGATATAGCGGTGTTTCATTAGCCCGGATGCGCCGTGCTTGTGCCTCCGGCGAGGCGCTCAGAGGCTGGAAAGCAGCGCGTCAAAGACTATGGGAGTTTATGAACCCGAACACAATTCTCATTGGTCATTCCCTGGATAATGATCTAGATGTCCTTGGAATACTGCATCATAATATCGTGGACACTGCTATCTTGACCGCGGAGGCTGTCTTCCTCCCCGTTTCTCATACAACACGAATGAGCCGCAGGTGGGGCCTAAAGCCTCTTGTCGATGAATTTCTAAGTCGTGACATACAAGTCGGAAAGGGACACAGTGCCTTGGAGGATGCATGTGCAACTCGAGATGTTCTTTTTTGGTGCATGTGCAATCCGCACTTGCTGCAAGTATGGGCTGAACAAAATAGGATCAGGGAGGAGAAACGAGTCGCCGCTGAAAAGGCAAAACGTGCCGCTAATGCAGAGAAAAAAATTGCTGCCGAGGCAAAGAAGAAACTTGCTGCTGAGGCGAAGAAGAGACTTGCCGCTGAGGTAAAGTAGTGGAAACGCACCAAAGAAAGAGAAGCCGGAAGTTGAGTGTCCTTCAGAAAGCCGCCTCAAACGAAGGCTATTGTGGATATCACCGAGTTTTAGAAAGCGAGGACTGGCCCACAGCTCATATTGGGTGCCTAGTAGCTAAACCTCTGCTATAATTGGAATGGGATAATTGTCACACGAACCTTTATTGTACATTTGACGCCGAGTAGCTACAATGGGATTTCCATTTCCTCATATCATGAACATCTAGGGCGAATCGTAGCCATCACAATCATTTCAGAATTCTAGATAGAAGTTTCTCAGCAGCCTTCAAGGCCTTCAACTCCGCCCTCTGCCGTATACTTGCATGACCCAACTCCTGGCGTCGTTGAGTTGACCGGATAAAGCACCACATTCTCAAAGTCAATATCGTAGCACGGATGAACGTTCGAACACGACACCGAAGCAATCTTAGTTGAACTGGTTTGAATGTACCCAGTAAAGTTGACGAATGAGACTTCTGAAATGCTCATCTTACTCGTACCACTGTATGACCCATTGTTTCCATTATCCTGGGTGATCGATGGTCCAGCATTTGCCCCATTGATTTCAAAATTGGAGAAAACCACATTCTTTATACTTCCCCAGCCTCCACCACGCGGAAGCCCTGCGCTCTCGTACGAGCTCTGCGGCGTGAGGCCTCCCATCCAGGTCTTGATGTATGCAGAGTTGTGCATGTCCTCGTTGTATCGGATGATCTTGACCTCGTCGATGGTAATGTTTTCAACACTCGAGTCTTCCAGATATTGTCCCAGACTACCGATGGCGATACCGTTTCCACCACGACATGTAACGTTTCGAATGTTAACATTGTAGGAGCGTGGCTTGATCGCGATACAGTCATCTCCGCCTTGGTAGATTAGGTTGGTGAGCTCGATGTTATCTACATCCATTGTATCTAATAATCATCAGCAGTGAAACCAGAGTGTATTCATCTTGAGACACTCACCAAAACCATCGGTGTTCTGCACCCAGTTATCACCGTATGGCGCATCGACGGCGGTTGCATTGACGTAGATATTGTTGAAGCGCATATTCTTGCCGTTCATGATATTCAAGCTCCATAGCTGCGGGTTTTTGATATGGAAGTTGTCCACACTCACTTCGGACGCATTCCAAAATACAAAGGGCATCGGTCTTCCTGGAAGAGTATTACCAGCCTCGGCAGTATACCAAGCATTTCCATTGCCGTCAATACCCCCGGTGCCATGTCCGTTGATTTTGATATTATTCCCGGAAATGATAAACCCTGCGGCATGATTCTGGAACGCGATGGGATAGGAATTATTTCTCCAGTAGTCAAGGTCATCGGAAAACTGTATAAAATCCAATAAGCAAAATATTCCAGTTGGATCAAAGTCAGAAGTCTCGTACGGTCCATTCTCCTCGCCATTCAATCTCCACATTTTTGAGGACGGGGTTCAATCGAGTCGCAATCCAGTAAGACTGATCCTCAGGGAATACAACCTTGCCCCCATGTCCACATTTATGAAATGCTTTGAGAATATTAGGAACATCGTCTTTTTTATTCCCATTTGCCTTGACGGTGCAAACTTTCGGACCTGAGCTTGTCACTGCCGCGAGAACAGGCGACAACAGCAACCCCAGATGAAGCACGGCGGCAGAAATTTGGAGACCCCGCATTGTCCTACTTCGTTAGTATTGATGTGCCATTGTAATGGAGAATTAGGAGATACCTTTCTCAAATACTTTGCATCGTTTCCCTAATCATCGCAACCTCGGGTGTCTTTGAGCCGAAGACATTTTGGTGCTGCGGACTACGGATGAAATCGATTGCGGGGAAAACGCCTCGAAGGGGTCATATGTGGTTTTATTTCTGATACTACTGGTGCATTGAAGCCACATTATTGCTTGTATGCCGATCGCTGCCCTGATCCCGGCTGATGATGCAGGGGTTCATATTGCTTGACGATGATTCTTCCACCAATGAGTGCAGATCTTCACTATCCCTGACCAGCTTCCCCACGTTGACCAACCTCGCTTAGCTAGTAAGGCTCGCTATATTCAAGACCGAATGTGAGATTGCTTATAATGTACTTTTGCAGTTGTTTGTTGACCTGAATTCTATATGTAATCCTACACGGCGGGGTCCATAGCCCCATTTTAATCTTGCTCTGCATTTGCAAACACGCTAGACACCTATTAAAGAGCAGGATGTCGGTGATATATTGGATCGGGCTACTGCTCAGCCTTTATTCAATAGCTCATGCTTCCAATGCACAATCATGTTGGAGAGATGTCTCCTGCTCCGGCCCAACAGAAAGTGCATTCAGTGGCGTATGGGATAAGAACATCTATGCGCCATTGTCACGAACAGTCCGACCAGCCTCGATTCTCTCTGATTTAAAAACCAATGTAATTGCAGACTCAGCCCATCCGGCAACAGCCAAATTTCACGGAAATGGATCGCTCGTGGTCTTCGACTTCGGCAAAGAAGTAGGAGGCATCGTCCACCTGCAATACACTTCAAGTGGCAGTGGCGCTTTAGGACTTGCATTTACCGAAGGCAAGAACTGGATCGGAGAATGGTCGGACTCTTCAAATGCCCGATATCATGATGGTGCCCTCTATGCGAACTTCTCATCAGCTGGGAGCCACTCCTATGCCATGCCTGACAAGTACCTCCGTGGAGGATTCCGATACTTGACACTCTTCCTGATCACAGAGGACTCTGCGACTGTGCAGCTCAAAGATGTTAGTCTTGAACTTGCGTTTCAGCCTACTTGGTCAAATCTTCGCGCGTACCAGGGATACTTTCACTGCAGTGATGAGTTGTTGAACCGCATTTGGTACAGCGGGGCGTATACGCTGCAGACGAATGAGGTCCCTGTCACCACTGGTCGCCTTAACAGTGGTGTTACCTCTGGCTGGTTGAACAATGGTACTCTCGGTCCTGGTGATACAATAATTGTGGATGGTGCTAAGCGTGATCGTGCGGTCTGGCCTGGTGACATGGGAATTGCGGTTCCGTCTGCTTTTGTGAGTTTGGGAGATCTTGATAGTGTCAAAAATGCGCTACAGATTATGTATAACACTCAGGTGAGTGAGGCCATGCTGATTTCGGTGATTTTTGATTAACAGTCTGGCAGGATAAATCAACTGGTGCATTTGACGAGTCGGGTCCACCGCTCAGTCAGAAAGGCTCGGATACGTATCATATGTGGTCAATGATCGGTACACACAATTATGTGCTGTACACAAATGATACGGCCTTTCTGGAGACGAATTGGGATGGATATCTTCTTGCCATGGATTTCATCTACGGCAAAGTGACTTATCCCAGCGGTCTATTGAATGTGACCGGGATTCGCGACTGGGCTAGATGGCAACAGGGATATAACAACACAGAAGCTCAGATGATGTAAGTTGGATTCATATTGAATACCTATTCGAAGTATCGTGCTAAAAGCTTATAGCCTTTACCATACCCTAAAGACTGGAGCCGAGCTGGCAGCATGGGCCGGCGACACTACCAATCTGACCAACACGTGGAACTCAAGAGCGGAATCCCTCAAGAAAGCCATCAACGAATACTGTTGGGATGATGGATACGGTGCATTCAAGGACAACGCCACTGACACCACACTTCACCCACAAGACGCAAACAGCATGGCCATTCTCTTTGGAGTAGTCGACTCTGACCGCGCAGCAGGCATTTCAGAGAAGCTAACTGAGAACTGGACTCCAATAGGAGCAGTAGCCCCCGAGTTACCTGAGAATGTGGTTTCCTTTATTTCATCATTCGAGATCCAAAGCCATTTCGTCGTTCAGAACTCCACTCGTGCTTTGGATCTAATACGGCGTAGCTGGGGCTGGTACCTCAATAATCCCAATGGCACGGAGAGCACAGTTATTGAAGGCTACTTGCAGAACGGAACATTTGGATACAGAAGTAGTCGAGGATATGGTTACGACCCTTCATACGTTTCCCACGCACATGGCTGGTCGTCAGGCCCCACATCAGCGTTGACGGAGTATATTGTCGGTCTCTCGGTGACCTCACGGCTAGGCGAGACATGGACTATTGCACCACAATTTGCAGACTTGAAATATGCCCAAGCCGGTTTTGTAACCTCACTTGGGAAGTTTCAGGCTTCTTGGACGAAGAAGTCTCATGGGTATTCGCTGAGTTTTTCTGTTCCCGAGGGCACGACTGGGGATGTTGTTCTACCATATCCAACTCCATCTAAAAGACCGTCGATTAAGATGAACGGCGCGAAGGTCGCAATTCAAGTGGTCTATGGGGATTCAACTGCTACTGTCGCCGTGAAAAAGGGTGGTTCTCATACTTTTGTTGTTAATTAGTGCTGGATTAGCCTGACGTCCACCAAGAATATCTTCCTCGGGAGCCGGACACATAGCTTCAAGATTTCAACCTTTTCATCAAACGCAAAATCAAAGCTGATTCTTCAAAATATCATAAAATAGTGTATAATAGTCGTAATTGCCGTGATAAAGTCCAGAAGGATGACGCCTAAGCGCCTTGGAAATCTCTTTCCTCCGCTACACGGAGTAGCAGTAAAATCCCATATAACGCAGGAAAAAAATCATAAAAAAATAACGGAATATACTAATCGATTCATGCTCTATCATCATGGTCAGGGTTGATAATATGACTCTCCCTGCAATACTACTAGCTAGTACTGGTAGTAGATTGTTGATGAGACGAAGCATGAAGAACCCACATATCAGCCCCACATCCACCTCCCACATGGAGACTTTATACTCGCGATGATATAATGACCTCGGCCTGCTGGAACCTCATCAAAAATCCGATTTGTCTCTTTTGCAAACCCTCACAATATTCAAAATCATCATGTCTGAAACCGTCCGTCCTGCATTTTCAGGCCGCGAGCGCCCGCTGCTCTCATACGGCATTGCCTTCCCCGCCGCTGCCGCTAGACATGTCACCGAGACCTTCCACGCTTCACGCGTATATGTGATCTGTTCAGGCTCATTGGCTCGGAATACCGATTCTCTTGACAGATTGAAGGCCGCATTGGGACCGGAGAAAGTCGTTGGGTGTCGTATCGGGATGCAGAGCCACACGCTCTGGTCCGAGGTCCTCGAGATCGCTGAGGAAGCGAGGAATGCAAAGGCTGATCTAATTCTCACACTGGGAGCGGGCAGCTTGACTGATGGAGCGAAGATTGTTGCATTGGTATGTGTCAAATTTGCATTCAAATCTAGATTCTCAAATCAATACAGTGTTCTAAAGACTGCCCCAATCTAGGCCCTCGCCAATGAAGTTCGCAAACCAGACGAGCTCGAAACGCTTGCGGAAGGCCCGGATAAAAGAACAAATATCCAGATGCCTACTGTTCCAATTATCTCCGTCCCAACTTCGCTTTCTGCGGGCGAGTATTCTAACTTCGCGGGTGGCACTGAAGATCAATCACGCCGGAAGTATAGCTTTCAACCACCCACCCGTGGACCACAATTGATCATCCTGGACCCCGAACTGGCGGGAAAAACACCCGACTCTATCTGGATCAGTACAGGTGTACGTGCTGTAGATCATTGCGTGGAAACGCTCTGTGCCATCGTCGGGACGACATCTGCATCGGACGAGTTGGCGGAACGCGCGCTCGGCATGTTGGTCCCTGGCCTCCTTCGCTGTCGCAAAGATCGTGCAGACAGGGATGCTCATCTTCAGTGCCAGTTGGGATCAGTGGAAGCGATGGCAGCTTGTACGGGTGGCTCCGTGGAATTGGGAGCTAGTCACGGAATTGGACATCAGGTTTGTTACACTTTATTCCATATCACCAACAAGACTACCCTGCCTATCTGTGTCCGGGGAACAAAAAGCTAACGAAGAACGACTTGAACAGCTCGGACCTCTCGGCGTTGGTCATGGCGAAACAAGCTGTATTCTCCTCCCAGCTGTGTGTAAGTTCAATGCAAAGCACAATGCCAATCGGGACCGACAAGCGCGTGTTCGCGAATTCCTCCTCAACGACCCAATTGTATCTGAGGTTCTACATGTTCGGTTGATCGATACCGAGACAGCCGATCTAGGCGATATCCTCGATGGCGTGATTCGCGAGCTAGGTATGCCGCGGTCCCTTGCTGATGTGCATGTTGGCCGCGATAAGCTGGATGTATTGGCAGCGAATAGTCTACATGATCGGTGGTGCCAGTCCAATCCGGTGCCATTGAAGGAGAAGGAACAGGTACTAGAGATTCTAGAGATGGTGGTAGTCTAGAGTATACTACTACTAGTTACTAGTTGGTACTAGTATCAACCTGGTTCCTTGGTATGACAAGTCGATGGTGTCAACTCGATCGATTGCTAAGCAGCCCCGCGCCCCACGTTGATTCCAAGCGGTTCTCTTTTCTTTTGTTGTTATCTACTGTACTAGATACTAAATCCAATTGAATCACAACCAAGCATATCGGAATATAAAAAGAAACAAAATATTTAAGACCATGGCTGCTAAGAATATCCTCCTCTTCGGCGCGACTGGCCAAATCGGCTCGTTCATCTTGGAGGCCATCCTCACCACCCGCGATTCCTTCGGCCGAGTAGCCATCTTCACCTCCGCACGAACTGCCGAGACCAAATCGGCATATCTGGAAAAGCTAAAGCAGCAGAAAATCGAGATTATTATTGGAGATGTCGACGACGAGAATGCCGTAAAGGCTGCATACAATGGTATCAGACACTCTATCATAGTATACTTACTACTATACTATAACTACCCCCACCCCTCCCCGCCTCAATTATATCACAATGGCTAAATGATCAACCCAGGAATCGACACCGTCATCTCAGCCCTTGGTAGAAACACCCTCGCCCAGCAGATCCCTCTAATTCGTCTGGCAGCCGCAAGTCCCGATGTGAAATGGTTCTTCCCATCCGAGTATGGCACAGATATTGCCTACGGCCCTGCCTCGGCAAATGAAAAGCCCCATCAGCAGAAGTTGAAGGTTCGCGCTGTTCTTGAGCAGGAAATTTCACGCAGTGACCTCGACTACTCGTACGTCGTGACGGGTCCTTTTGCAGAAATGTATCTTGACTTCACGCCCGGCCTGGAAGAAGCCGGTGGATGGGATGTTAAGGGACGGAAGGCTGTGTTGCTTGGTGAGAAGGGGCCGGCGAGGGTTAGCTTGACTACGATGAAGGAGTAAGTATTTCCCTGTTTTGGTTTGCCTTGCATTTACATTGAATTCAAATACATGGAAAAATGGAAAGCATCTTGCTGTTTTGGATAAATAAGCTAACGTATGATAACAGCGTGGGAACCCTCGTTCTGTCCGCTCTTCTCAACGCTGGTCCTGAGGCTCGTAACCGAGCTCTGCGCGTGAACTCGTTCACCACCACCCCGGCTGAAATTCAGGCTGAGTTTGAGCGTCAGACGACTGGTCAGCCATGGGAGTCCGTTTCGGAGACCTCCCTTGAGCGACTGCGCGAGCTGGAAAAAGCCGCCTGGGACGCTGGAAATGGAGCTGCGACGGTGCTCACTCTGCGCCGCATCTGGGCTGAGGGAGGCACTTTGTATGAGCAGCGGGATAATGGGCTTATTGGGGAGCCCAAGGTAATGGGTCTGCAAGAGGTGATTGCCAACGAGATCCGCCGAGTTTCTTCACTTTAAACAGAAATGGAGATGGGGGAGAAAGAGAGATGGGTGGGAAGAGCCATTGGAATGGGGCAAGTGTACATAGCCATCAGTATAAGCAAGGCCTCCATATCAATTCCATCTACATTCATGGCTAGACCAGAGAGAAACCGTCATTTAGACCTCGAGAATTAGTGTACGGGAGGGAGGAAGAAGGGGAGTAAGAAATTGGGATATGAAATTAACGAAAACATTTCAGGTCTTTCACTAGCATCGGATTCACATGGCCAAGGGGAATGATTAACAAAAGAGCAGCCGGGACGGGCAAGAAACAGTGCCACGGATATAGAACAAAACCCGAATTCTCTACTGGAAGTACTTGCGAACTCGCTCCTGGTTGTCTGGGTTGACGCCTGCCAGGATCTGCTCGGCATTCAGACCGGTCGCGGCCACCAGCTGCTTGGCCGAGGCGGCAACACGAGCGGCAGTCTGTCCCTGCAGAGTCGCCGCGTCGAGAGCTTGCACGATAAATCCGAACACACGGTCAGCCTTGCTGATGACGGCGGGGTTTTGTCTGGGAGAAGAAGTTAGCAGTTGGCCTTGGAGAGGAAGTAGGATAGTCAAGAGGTAGGTAAAACATACTGGTCAATCAGCTGGGCAATGAAGGAATAGGCGTAAGGAGCAGCCTCCTCATCGTAGATAATGGGCAGTGTTTCGATCCAGGTGACCACGATGTCCTGGGCACCCTGCACCTTGGAGGCGTTGTAGTGCAGGATCTTTGCGATACTAGCAGAAGCATTCTCGGTAGCGAAAACGTGCTCTTCGGTACGAGAGTGCGGGTGCTGGGTAACCTGGAAGAGGCTGGGAATGCTGGCGGCAACGAAATCGCTCCAGGGCGCACCACCCTTCTGGGCGGCAACACCGACACCATAGGCGGCAGCTTGGCGGTTGGCGGCGTTTTCATCGGTGAGACCAGAGGCCAAGGGCTGCATAATGTGGTCCTTGTAGTTCCATGATTCCGCGGCGCAGAACTCGAGAACATCATCCATGATGCAGAGGGCCCATTGGCGCTGGGTAGGATCTTGGCTGGTGATGAAGTTGTCATAGAACTGGATCAGTCGCTCCCAGGCAGGTAGGAAGGTATTTCCCTGGTTTTTGAAGATGGTGTGGAAAGCCTTGTTCATATCGCTGAGCAAGTTCTGGTCATCCTCAATGGCAAATTCGTAATCAAGGTTTTCCTCATCACCCTCCTCGAGCTCGGCCTGCTCCTCCAGCCGTTGCTTCACGCGCATCTGGTAGTCCTCGAGAGTAGACTTGGCGGACTCAATGAAGGCGAGCATGTGCTGAGAGGTGAGGCTGTTGCGACCAACAACCTCGACGGACTCGTAGAAGCATTGGTACATCTCGGCCAGGGTGTCGACGGTGGGCTCAGCGCTGAGCACCTCAATGATCTTCTCGGCAACCTTGCTCCACATCTCAGCAAATCCGGGGGACTGGCCGCCGTGCGCCTTCTTGAAGGAGTTGAGCAGCTGGGGAATGAGCTTAGCGGCCGAAACACGCACGGGGTCGTGGAAGAAGAAGGCAAGACCGGGGACGGCAATTTTCTCCATGGTCTCCAGAACGTAAGGCTCGAAAGCCTCCTCCAGGATCTGGGCGTAGATGGTGATCAACTCGATAGCGGTGTTCTTGTCCTCCAGAGCGCTGGTCTTGATACCAATAATCTTGCCCTTGAGAGGAACCAGCTCCCAACCCTCATCTTGCTCAACCTGCTCGATCTGATCCTCGTCATCAAGGAGTTGGATGTCGGCCTTAGCGGCAGCCACAGTCAGTAGAGGAGGCATGACGCCGGGCAGATAGGGGACAAAGTCGCGGCCAAGGACACGGCACATGCGGCCCCAGCAGTGAAGGAGGTACTGGGATTGAGGATCATCGGCATCGGTAATGTTCTGTTGGATATTGCCCAAAATGTTGACCAGGTTCAGAGCGTCCTGGCCCATCTTCTCCTTGCCAACGGCCAGAGCGATCAGTGTAGCACACTCCATAGCCTTGGCGCGCAGAAGGCGGTACTCCTTACCCTGCTCCTCCTTCAGGACGTTCGTCAGCAGCGGCATGAGGTTGTTGTAGTACTGGCCAAAGGCGGTCTCAGCGGAGTCGGCGATGGTAGCGATGGTGGAAAGAGCCTGCTCTTGGAGGTAGCGCTTAGGGCTCTGCAGAAGCTCCAAAAGACGACCGAGAAGGTCTCCTAGGTAGGGCTCGAGGATGCTGCGCTCAGCCTCCTCGCAGAAGTTAACCAGAGCAGCGGCAGCGTGAGACTGCACACGGGGCTCGGTGTTGCCCAGCACAGGAATAATGTTGTTCAGGACAATACCGTGGTACTTCTCTTGCATGGTACCGGCGAAATCAGTGCTCATCTGACCGAGAGCATTGCAGCCTGCATATCGCACACGGGGGGGGGGGTCGCGCAGGGCGGGGACGACGAGGGCGAGGACTTGGTCGAGCTCGCCGACCATCAGGTCACGGCAGCCCTCGGAGATAGCAGAGATGGCCATCAAAGCAGCGTGACGATCGCGCCAGGCGGTGGAAGACATCATGCGGGGAATCCAGGAGAATGCGGGCTGGAGAATAGCTTCGCCGCCGAGCTTGTTAGCCAGACGGTCCATGCATTGCTCACCAGCAATGTGGTTGAGATCGCTCTCCTCGGGCTCGAGCTGAGGGTTGTTAGAAAATCGTCAAAATGTTGAGAGCAATATGGTAACTTACATCCTCGGACGCGTTCCATTCCTCGGCATCATCATCATCAGCACCGACATCAGTCATCAAGCTCAGGCACTGGGTGACCATCTCCTGAGCAAAGTTCGTTTCCTTCTTGCACATGTTTGGAGAGTAGTCGGCGAAGGTGGCCATTAATTCTAGGGCATTCTGGCGAACTTGATCGCTCAGCTCCTTATCAGCAATGACACTAATGCTAAACTTGACAAGGTCGCTGAACGAAGCCTTGAACATCTTAGGGTTGATCTCTGCCAGCTCGATCAGAGCGAGGAGAGCGGAGGACAGCTCCTCGCTCTCGCTGGACTCCTTGAGGGGAGGGAGGATGTGAAGAAGGGCGGGAGTGAGGCCGAAGAATTTGCTCTGTGACTTTTTGCTGATCGAACGGAACATCGCGGCGAAGGCCTCCATGGCGGCAATTCGGACCTAGGACAATATTAGCGATCAAAATATCCCGCTCGAGAAAAGCAGCCCAATGACACTGCGATCGAACCTACAGAGATATTCTCGTCTTCGAAGCCCTTGGTGAACACACCAACCACGGCGTCCTCATGCTGCCTCTCAATGATACCAGGGGTGGTGGTAAAGATTCTGAAAGCAGTCTCTCGCAGACCAGCCTCGGGAGACTGGCTGGCCTGGAAAAGGACACCGAGAAGTTCGGGCCATTGATCACCTGTAACAAGAAGATTGAGCGTGTTAGAGCCGACATTAGATCCCAAGGTTGTATCAAGGGTGATGATCCGCATACCATTGTCGGTGTATTGCCGGGCTACCTCGGCGACGGCATCGCCAACCTTCTTGCGCACATCGAGGACGGACTCGGTGGTGAGGCAGGTGACTAGCTTCTCGCGGATGGCGACTCGTTGTTCGTTGGGAAGGCTCAAGAAGACCTCCTTAGCCTCGCCAGTGGCGGGGTCCTTGCGGGTCTTGGTTGCGATTCTTCGGAAAAGCACAGAGGAGAAAGCACGGGTCTGTTTTGGGGGAGATATGGTCTTAGCGATTCTATTCCGTCTGCTCAGTGTTATGGAGGAGGTGAGAGTGTCGCATCGCCCTTGTTCTTATTTTTTCGACAGTTGGGCGGTTCCTCCTGTGGTCGTTGGCCGGACCACCACCACCACCTCCTCCCTTGGGGTGAGGGTGAGTGGAAGGAGACTCACTAATGTGTCTTCAGCTCCACCAATCTGCTCAGCCAGTCCCATCAGTAGGACATCCGGCTTATTCTGAACCCATTCATTGTTCAACTGGTCTTCCGCCTGCGATCGAACAGTGTTGTCGGGTGTGCTCAAGGCGCGCAGCAGCTGGGACAGCGCGGTGTGGACCTCGGGAGGAAGGAGGGACATGGTGGGTGTGTCTGTTCCCAAGATCCAACAGACAAAATCAACCCAGATCAAGAGCTCTTGACAAGGGAGTGTATGGTGGGGGTGAAGAGGGGTGGAAGAAGAGAGGAGTTTTGTTTTTGGTGGGGCGGACAGGGAGGAAAAAAAGATTGATGATTAGGGGAATTGATATGCGATAGCGCCGGGCCTGGTCAGCCTGGGGAAGGACAACACAAGAGATCAAGCAGAACTGGGGAAATAGGAGAAGGTAAATGAATAATTCACCTGGATAGATGTAAAAGATAATTTATTGAAGGCTATGTTTCAGACTCCAGGGCTTTCTTTCACTCTGAATTGGGCTTGATGATCGTCTTGGCTCCCCCCCGTGCACAATCCACAGTTCATACCCCAGCATCAAACTAGACCTGAAACAGATTAATCGGTTTTAGTATGATAAGAATCCTTGAAACTGGACTTTTCCCATGGCTACTAGTACTAGTAGTACTTCCCTACCAGCCATTTAAGTTCACACCCAAGCATACTACTAGGACTAATCACCATTGGTCCGGTTATATATGTATAGCCGACGATCACCAGCAACTAGTATTAGTAATTATTAGCACTACTACCTAGGTAGTACTCGTACCTACGTGACCATATGCAACGGACATTCTGAACTATATTATCCAACGCTCTAGATAGTAAGTATTTGCATTGAAGGCTAAACTAAGGCCGCGACTGATCATTACTTGAACAGCGGTATCTGAAGGCGACACAGAATATCAATATTAGAAGGGGGGTATGCACTCTCAAAGATGACAGGAACCAAGGTCGAGCTGGGAGGATCCATTGACGGGAAAAGAAACCACAGAGGGGCTAGAAGGACAATGAGACCGAAGAGAGATGGTGATGATGATGAAGATGAAGATGAAGATGAAGATGAAGATGACGATG